AGGGCCAATTTTAGCATAGATTCTCCATTTCCAGCCAACACCAAATGAAGCTGAGAAACCACCAAGTTCCCTTCAGCATCTTCAGCACTCGGTCAACTTCAGACCTGTACCAGATCCTGCACTGGAGGGGGTTGGACTAGTCAGTGTTTCCCAACCTTGTGCCTCCAGCTGTTTTTGAACTACAACTCCCATCATCCCTGACTAGCAAGACCAGTGGCAAGGGATGATGGGAATTGTAGTCCAAAAACAGCTGGAGGCACAAGGTTGGGAAACACTGGACTAGATGACCGTAGGGGGGACCCCTTCCAACTCTACTATGATTCATATTTAATAAAATTTATTATTATTATTATTATTATTATTATTATTATTATTATTATTATTAATATTATTATTATTACCCCGCCCTTACCAGTTCAGAAAACCGGGCTCAGGGTGGCTAACAACAAATTTAAAACACTTACCGGTAATTGAGCCTAGCCATCAGGGCCAGATTTCAGTTTGAGGAGGTCCTAAGCTCCTGAAGGTAATGGGGCCCTTTCTATGTCCAGCTGTCCTTTGTCAACAACAAACTGTTGCTGTTTTTTTGTGTTCAATAAATGCTACATGGTAATTGATGGACCTCATAGGTATCTCAAGCCATTTGCATGTAACAAAATACACGTATTTTATCAAAGCAACTGTTGAACTGAAATACAATACATCCAGGTTGTTTTTTCCTTTAAATTTTTTTGGGGGGGCTCTAAGCTATAGCTTGTTTAGCTTATACCAGGGGTCAGCAAACTTTTTCAGCTGTGGGCTGGTCCACGGTCCCTCAAACCATGTGGGGGGGCCGGACTATATTTTGGGGAAAAAATGAATGAATTCCTATGCCCCACAAATAACCCAGAGGTGCATTTTAAATAAAAGGACACATTCTACTCAGGTAAAAACACGCTGATTCCCAGACCGTCCGGATTGAGAAGGCGATTGGGCCGGATCCATAGCTGTCAACGTTTTCTTTTTAAGGGAAATCCCCTTATTCCGAATAGGATTCCTCGCAAGAAAAGGGAAAAGTTGACAGCTATGGCCGGATCCGGCCCCTGAGCCTTAGTCTGCCTACCCAGGGGTCTTCAGAGTTAGGAGAACTGGGGGGGGGGGGTTCATTGAGTGGGGAAGCTTAGGGTCTGGATGGATAAAGGGAATCTTTGCCACTGACCCAAGAAGCCTGTTATCTCCCCAGGCATCTGTCAGCTGAGCAGGCTTATTTCTCCTACTGTATGTAGTGTAAATATCTCCCCCACATCATCCATGGGTCAGAGATCAGTCAAGCCAGATGGGGATTAGCGCCAGCAGGGTGCAAATTGCTTTGGTGGAGGGGAGAGGAATGTTGCATTGGAATAAGGCAGCATCACTCGAACTCGCCTCCCTGCTGCTGCCCTCTCTCTCCAAGCCCTCTCAATTGTCTGTTGCATCACCCAGGGAGCCACTCCCAAGGCATTTGCCCAGGAGATCCACAGGGGCATCAAATCGAGCCAGATCTGGGTCAGGCTGCACACTTACCGGAGAGTAAGTCCCACTCAGTGCAGACCTCACAAGAGCAAAATCCAAACTTCGGAAGGAAAGAAAGTTAATCAATACAGTGGTCCCTTGGTTCTCAAACGAGGGACCCTGCTGAAAAAGTTTGCTGACCCTTGCTGAAGACTATAAGCAAGAGCTAGGATAATTTTACAGAGGGACCTTCCACAAAGCGTTGCCAAAAGGCAGTCCTTGACTCTCAATAGCAATGGCCAAGCAAGACCGCTTGGGTCGAGGGCCTCTGAGAATGCACAGAGTGCATTTATTTATTGCACTTGAGCCCACCTTTCCGCTAAGGGCCTCCAGGTGGCCACGTGGTTCTCTTCCCTCCTCGTGTCATCCGCACAACAGCCCTGTGAGGTAGGCTTGGCTGAGAAGCAGAAACCGGCCTTTGAGGCCACAGCCAGTGAGCTTCACAGCCAAGGGACGGGGATTCGAACCCTGGTCACTGGCGGAGGAACACGATCCTGGTGGGGTACCATCGCGGCTGCCCCCAGCTCCGCCACTGATCCTGGTCTCCCACTTCCTAGTCCAGTGCTCTAACCATTGCACCACCATTGCCTTTCCAATTTCTAAACTTCACCCTGCACCTTATATGCTGCCCTGTTTTTCAGCCACAATATATTCTGGTCCTATATTGCACGAATGAACCCCTTGCTCCCCCAAGGATGGCCGTCCCTCCTCCAAACTAGTCTTTCCCCAGAATTACACCCGTGGCTGTAATTCAGAGGCATAACGCCCACTCTCATCACCTTCAAAGGACTCTCATCCAGCATCATCGACATCTAGTGGCAGGGAGTTCCATAGATTAACCCTGCACTGAGTGGGAAAAGTATATACACCCCTTCGTCCAAAATCTGCTGCAGGAAGAACCACAAATTGTAGGCTTCTGGGAGAGGGAGAAATTCTTCTCAAGAGTAGACCCACTCAAATTAACGGAGCTAAATCACTCAGGGTCATTCATTTCAATGGGTCTAGCCTGGGGACGACTAATAATAGATAGAACACTTTTTTTTCTGCCCCAAGTTCTCCATATAATCGAAATTAGAATGATCATGAATGAATAAAAATTACCTGGGCTAATTGTACTACGGTCTTTTAAACTGGGGGAGGCGGGTACTGGTCTTGTTTGTTACCATGTTATGTATTTTTCTGTTTTTATATTGTAAACCACCCTGTGATCCTTGGATGCTGATGTATAAAATAATAAATAATAATAATAATAATAATAATAATGTTTTTTCTTATTAAAACCTGAATTATTTTACTCCCTCTTTAGTTTCCTCCACCCTGAATTGCACAAAAACCAAACATCTCCCCCCCCTCTAAAAATACTATCAAGGGGTTTTTGGTGAGGATGGCTTGCCCCATGCAGAGGTGTTGGAAGGGGGGGTGGGAAGAGGAGATTCTTAGATATCCCAGAGGGCCTTTTTTATCTTGCTGAAGCAGCTTAGCACAGCTGGGGGGAGAACCGGGTACCTGGAAGTAAATATTCCCTCAATTTCAGAGATAATAAAGGCTTGGAGCAAGGCATTTTGCTAACTGGTTTGGGAAGGAGCAGTCCTTAGGCAGATAAGAGCCCTGGTCTTTGAAATCCTAGCCCTAGCCTGACCCCAGGGTGATCTAGAATATTTATTTCATTTCCTAAAAGGTATACACCGCTTGATTGCAAAAAAACCAAAATCCCTCAAAGCACCAGTAGGGAAATTTGACAACAATCTTAGACTTCTGAAAAGTTAAAATAGATGAAAAACAGGATTAAATCTCGCATTTCAGGGGGTTGGACTAGATGACCCTAAGCTCCCTTCCAACTCTACAATTCTAAATATCTAGCTAGGCTGGTCTGAACATAATAATAATAATAATAATAATAATAATAATAAATAAAATTTTTATTTATATCCCGCCCTCCCCAGCCGAAGCCGGGCTCAGGGCGGCTAACAACAATAAAACAGTACAAAAGTACAGCATAAACAACACTCTAAAATCATTCATTATAAAATTAATTAATATTAATTAATATAAAAATGTTCCCATCGGGCACTGACAGTGAATATCAGTAGGCAGGGAGTTCCAAAGTGTACAGGTTCCACCACGCTAAAAGATTGAATTTCTGCAAATGTGGGGAGGGTGTTATTTTGGATCGAAGTGGTTGAATGGGTCCGTATCAGACAATCTCTGATGGGTAAATAGAGAGCAATCCTGAATACTTGGACCAGAATGAAGCCCTGAAAGAGGGGCAGGCACTCTCATAAAAACATGAGCTGCCTTGCTTTTACTCTCCTGCAAGAGACCCAGGAAAGCAGCAATGGTTGCAAGACAAGGGAGCCCGTTCTCTGCACAAGCCAAGGGATGTCAGAATTTCAAATAAATCCCGCCATCCTGAATGATTATACTGGAAACTAAGTCCCCATGATTTGGAAAGAGCTGTTGTGTTAAGGCAGCCTGTTCTGCAGCCTTTGAGGGACGAATTAAACTCCAGTTGAATTGTGAGGCTCCACAAGGATCGGGCCCAGCTATTCCAGCATCACAGAAATCGGGAGAAGTATCCCTGCAAGTAAGTTCAGGAAAGCTCCAAACCTAAAAAAGGTCAAGACAAAATCCTAAGGTTTTCTGGGCTCGAACACATTGCACAAGGCAAAGGATATTAATCCTAGGGCCGCTGAATTCGTAATGGAAGCAAATGCCATTAAGTCCTGAGCAGTAAAAATTTCCCATTTGACCATAATACATTATGGATCTATTCCAGAATCCTTGTTCTTACAGCAGCCAACCTGATGCCCATCGTGGGAAAACAACAAACAGGATCTGAACACAAGAGCCTTCTCTCTCCTTTCCTGAAACTTCCAGTAACTGCCTCCAGCTGTGGTGGCAAAGCCCAGCCATTCTGGCTAGTAGCCCATGAATTTATCCAATCCTCTTTAAAATCCAGTCAAGCTGGTGGCCATCTCTGCCTCCCACAGTTTAACTCTGCACTGCCTGAAGAATTAGGACGTCCTTTTACCCATCCTGAATCTCTCAGCATTCAGCTCCCTGGGATTCTGCTACAGTTAAGAGAGGAGGAGAACGATTTTTCCCTAGCCTCTTCTCCCATGCTGTGCATAATTTTACAAACTTCTATCGTGTTGCCTCCAAGAGAGAACCAATTCTAGGACCTTCCCTAGACATCTGAAGGCAGCTTTTACAGTCGGATGTATCCTGTAAATTCTGTTGGAAGCTGCCCAGAGTGGCTGGGGCAACCCAGCCAGATGAGCTGGGTACAAGCAATAAATATTATTATTATTATTAATAGCTTTTTCCTCTAAAGAGTCTCCTTTTTTCATAGGAGAGTTGCTCCATCCGCTCCCTCATTCTGGTGGCCCTTTTCTGCACCTTTCCCAACTCCACAATATCCTTTTGTAGGGATGCCTCCCCCTCGCCCCCCACCCCTCTGATCATCTTACCTGGGACAATTTGAGCTTCCGGCTTGGAGAGGTCTGGATGGCCAGTGCAATCATTGCCAAATAAGTGTAGGGGGGCTTGGGGTGGCGGTGGTAGTTTTTCTTCTTCCTCTTCGCCTTTCTGCCCGCCTCCTTGGCCGGACCCTCGCCCTGCCGGCCACCAGGCTCCTCGGCAGACCCCAGAGCTTCCTTGCCCAGGGTGGCGTCCTGGTCCAGGGTGCCATTCTCAGGATTTTGGTGTGGACTGGAGGTGGCAGACATTGCTGCTGCTGCTGCTGCCTCCGCCTGGGAGAGCCTGAAGGGCTAGTCAACTGACCAGCAGGATAAACAGCTTGTTGCCCTAAAGGAGGAGGAAGATTTGGAACCCATTCATGTCTTTATCATGCTGATGATGGAATCTCAGCCTGGAGATGGAGATCCTGCAGGGCAGAAGGGTGTGAGGGGAGGGGCACAGGGGCCAGTTGGCAAACCATTAACATCTGGCTGCTAATCTCTGAGCCAGAGATCCAGAGCCTGGGTTAGCCCCATGAGATGCCTACTGCAGGCATGGGGAGATGGAGGATTTGCACCTCTTGGTAGCGGCGCCTAATGGTGCTGCCATTCGCAACGGGCACACCAAACATCTGGAGCAGAACCAGGTCCCCGGGCTAAACAGGAGCCCACAAACTGGAGTTTTAATTCGTAGCGAGCAACCTATCCTTTCCCTGACAGGGTGGTTCTTGATCAATGAATGACAGATTTGTGGGGTGGGAAGGGGCCCCAAAGGTTGTCAAAGTGGGAGGGGTAGTGTTACGGAAATTATGGGGGGGGGGGCGCCTAGATTTTTCCTTAACAGTAGCTAATGCTGCAGAAGACAGAATCGGATTCAAGGTGACCTTAGGAGATTGGAGAACTGGGCCCAAACTAACAAGATGAGTTTCCAGAGGGACAAATGTCAAGTTCTCCACTTACAAATATAAGATGGAGGACATCCACCTTACTAGCAGAACATGTGAAAAGGACCATGGGGTCTTAGTACAGTGGTACCTCAGGTTACGTACTTAATTTGTTCCAGAGGTCCGTTCTTAACCTGAAACTGTTCTTAACCTGAAGCACCACTTTAGCTAATGGGGCCTCCTGCTGGAGCACAATTTCTGTTCTCATCCTGAAGCAAAGTTCTTAACCTGAAGCACTATTTCTGGATTAGAGGAGTCTGTAACCTGAAGCATATGTAACCTGAGGTACCACTGTGATAGGAATTTTATGGTCTTAAATATATAGTAATGTTCATAACTGCACATACATAGATCAGCACAGGAAAGCCAACCTGGAACCATTTTGATTCCTAAACTGACCAAATCCTTTCTCTGCAAGGTTAAAAATGGAAAAGCCTCCCCATTGTCTCTTCCTTCACAAATCCTGTCTTAATCTGTGTTTGAATAAGGTGTGAGCCTGTGACCTGGCCCAGGAAATAAGTATTTTAGCACTACAAAAGAATGGCCAGGCTCCCCAGAAATCCAATCAAGCAACTTGCCAGACAGGAGATAAACTGGGACAGGAGAAAAACAACATTTAAATTTCTGTGATGTAGGTGGGATGTATCTGAGGGGTGGTCTTAGGTTACACCCCTTCTGTGATGTATGCATAATGTTTCTGGGGGTGGTCTTGATCTAGAGGATGGGAATTTCAAAAGTCTTTATAAGGTCTTGCACACCATCTTTCTGGGTCCTCTTCCTCTCCTGCGTGTGAGGGGAGTACCCTGTTGCAACAGATCAATAAAGATCAAGCTTACTAGCTGCTTTGCTTCTCAATATTCTCTGGTTGGCCTCTGTTATTTTCTCCTACCAATAGGGAACCTATGTAAGGATTCTATATGGGCTCTTGGATACCCCATAAGGGAAAAGGGCATTATTTTATTTACAACAGATGGCGACCACGCACGAAGGGACTTTTGGTTACCCGGATTCTGGAAGCGAGGAAGGACTGGTTATCCAGCGCGCACCAGGCAGTTTGCCAGGAGGAATAACCAGTCTTCCATCGGTCCCAGGATCTGGAAATAACTGGAGTTTCAGCGGGGCTAACCAGAGGAAGCAAAGCTTGATCAGGCCGGCCTTAAACAACCAGTCAAGAGATCCCAGGATCACCAGGAACAGCGCATGCGGAAGTGAGTATTAAGTAGGAAACACGGGTAGTGGGTTGGGGTCTCTAAACCACAGCAACCAAAATTCTTGTAATTCTTCCTTTTCCCTTCAAATCTAAAATTTCTACTTTTTCCTCATCTAAAAATTGCCTTCTCCTTTCTGTCCCCTCAATCTCAACACCCGCCTTACTAGCAGAACATGTGAAAAGGACCATGGGGTCTTAGTACAGTGGTACCTCAGGTTACGTACTTAATTTGTTCCAGAGGTCCGTTCTTAACCTGAAACTGTTCTTAACCTGAAGCACCACTTTAGCTAATGGGGGCCTCCTGCTGCCGCCGGAGCACGATTTCTGTTCTCATCCTGAAGCAAAGTTCTCAACCCGAGGTACTATTTCTGGGTTAGCAGAGTCTGTAACGTGAAGCCTCTGTAACCCGAAGCATCTGTAACCCGAGGTACCTCTGTAGCACACAAGCTGAACATGAGTCGACAGTGTGATGCAGCCGCAAACCCGCCCCCCCACAAAACACCCCCCACTAATGCTATTCTGCATCAACAGAAATCTAGTGTCCAGATCAGGGAAGTTCATAGTACAGTGGTACCTCGGGTTACAGACGCTTCAGGTTACAGACTCTGCTAACCCAGAAATAGTATTTCGGTTTAAGAACTTTGCTTCATGAGAACAGAAATCGCGCAGCGGCAGCGGGAGGCCCCATTAGCTAAAGTGGTACCTCAGGTTAAGAACGGTTTCAGGTTAAGAACGGACCTCCAGAACGAATTAAGTTCTTAACCCGAGGTACCACTGTACAAAAGGGGGAAACATTGCAATTTAAGAGGGATATTGACAAGCTGAAATGTATGCAGAGGAGGGAAACCAAGACGATCCGGGGTCTGGAAACTAAGCCTTGCGAGGAGCGCTTGAAGGAGGTGAATATGTTTAGCCTGGAAAAGAGGAGACTAAGAGGAGATAAGGGATCCATCTTCAAATATCTCAAGAACTGTCACCTGGAAGATGGAGCCAGCTTGCTTTCTCCTGCTCTGGAGGGTAGGACTCGAACCCATGGCTTCAAGTCAGAAGAAAGGAGATTCCAACTAAACATCAGGATGCAGTCTTGGAAGGAAGCCCCACTTCAAAAGACTTACTTCCGAGTAGACCCACTGCAAACTGCTCAAGTCACTGTTTCCACATTCCTGATTCTTGCATCTGTGGAATGCTTTTGTGCCCCTTGTGTTAATTACGCTGATGCCTCTTGTGTTTGACTGATGTTTTATGATGAGTGTCCAGCAATCCTGAGTGCAGGAATCAGAGATGGGGATCCCCTGATTCTCTAGATGTTGTGGAACTGCTGCTCCCATTTTCATCCCTGATCATCACCGGCCATTGTGGTTGCTGGGAGCTGACACAGAGAGCCAGGGTGCTGTAGCAGTTAGAGTGCCGAACTACGTCGCGGGAGACCCGGCTTTGAATTCCTCCCTCCACCCTGAAGCTCACTGGGTGATCCAGTCACTGCCTCTCAGCTGAACACCTCACAAGGTTGTTGTGGGGATTAAAGAGGAGGGGGAGAATTAGATCAGCCACCTTGAGCGCCTTAGAGGGAAAGGTGGGATATAAATGGGTGAAAGATTCCTGCCCTGCAGGGGGTTGGACTAGATGACCACTCGTGGCCCCTTCCAACTCTGCAATTCTGTGATTCTATGAAATATTAAATATGAGTTAGATCCGCCAGAAGCTCGGCTCTGCCCTCGCCGGTCCTTTAAAAAAGTCCCATATGCTCAGAGACTTTGTTCCTGTTCATTGGGGGAGATAGGAAGCCCAGAGCACTTGTTCTTTAGATGTCCCTTTTATGAAGAGGCACGTGGTGAGACCATTGGTCCCCTACTGGTGAGGCTCGCTGGCCTCCCGGAAAAGCAAAAATCCGACCTTTTCCTGTTAGGCAAAGATCATAAGACGACCCGGATGGTTGCCAGATTCCGTGTACAGATCTGTAGGCGCAGACCATCCCCTGACTCAAACTAGTTCGTGAAGAAAATCCCCAAATTTGGTTCCATGGGTGACTCTGGATCATCTCTCTGCGGTAGCTTATTTTAAAGTTTTAAGTGTCTATACGCTTATTGCATTTATAAATTTCAAATTGATTGTTGTACATTGTTTTAAATGTTTGTTTTCCTTCTGGGATTGTACCCCCAAGTGTGTTTTATAAGCTGGTCTCCGACCGTAATAAATTATCTATCTGAGTTAGATCTGTATGGCCCCTCCTGTTATGGGGAGCAAAGCAAGCACTGATTTCTTTTCCTGGAGGGAGAAAGAAACAGACCAGTCTGCTCCCCCCTCCCAATTTAAATTTTGCGTCTGGAGGTGCAAGAGACTGGAGATTTTGGCTCAAGCACCCCAGAAGGGGTCCTCCTTTCAGGGAGTTATCAGTCTCTTGCTTTCTTTCCTTAGGGAAAGAGTGGCTTTGCTCCGTCCTTTTGATTCCTCATCTCAATCCACATGCAGAGAGCTTCAAACACTTGTCTGGCCCCAGAGGGAATCCTGTCCTCTGCTTGAGTGGCTGCACTGAATGCCCCTCAGAAGCCCCAGGGAATGGCACAGTGGTGGGCAGACGGGCAGCCTGCCTGTCTCTCTCTGCCCGTCACCCAGACACTCTCCAACTCCACCCAGCCTGGCCAGTCCGTTCCTCAGGTGGCTCAGGCACTTCAGTATACAGTGGTACCTCGGGTTAAGTACTTAATTTGTTCCGGAGGTCCGTAGTTAACCTGAAACTGTTCTTAACCTGAAGCACCACTTTAGTTAATGGGGCCTCCTGCTGCTGCCGTGCCGCCGGAGCACGATTTCTGTTCTCATCCTGAAGCAAAGTTCTTAACCTGAAGCACTATTTCTGGGTTAGCGGAGTCTGTAACATGAAGTGTATGTAACCTGAAGTGTATGAAACCCGAGGTACCACTGTACCTGAAGGAGTGTCTCCACCCCCATCCTTCAGCCCGGACACTCAGGTCCAGCTCCGAGGGCCTTCTGGCGGTTCCCTCCCTCTGAGAAGCCAAGTTAAAGGGAACCAGGCAGAGGGCCTTTTTGGTGGTGGCGCCCGCCTTGTGGAACGCCCTCCCACCAGATGTCAAAGAGAAAAACTACCACCAGACTTTCAGAAGACATCTGAAGGCAGGCCTGTTCAGGGAAGCTTTTAATGTGTGACATTTTAGTGTATTTTTAATCTTTGTTGTAAGCCACCCAGAGTGGCTGGAAAAACCCAGCCAGATGGGTGGGGTACAAATAATAATTTATTATTATTATTATTATTTATTATTATTATTATTGGCATGGAAGCAGAGGAAGTAGGCCAGATGTCAGAATCACAGAACTTGAGAGTTGGCAGGGACCCCACGGCTGCAGGATCTGATTTCTTTCCGCAGGGCCTGTAAGACAGAGTTGTTCCACCTGGCCTTTGGCAGGAGCAGGGACCGAGCAATGGGAGCTCACCCCGTCATCACGGGGATTCGAACCGCCGACCTTCTGATCGGCAAGTCCTAGGCTCTGTGGTTTAACCCACAGCGCCACCCATGTCCCTATTTAAGTTGTATTTTAATCAACTGTTTTTATACTTGGTGTTAGCTGCCCTGAGCCCGGCCTTGGCTGGGGAGGGTGGGGTATAAATAAAATTATTATTATTATTATTCAGTCCAACCCCTTCCAATGCAGGAATCTCAAGTAAATCATCCATGACAGGTGGCCCTCCAATCTCTGCTTAAAAACCTCCAAGGAAGGAGAGTCTACAATCTCCCGAGGGAGACCGTTCCACTGTCCAACAGCTCTTGCTGTCAGACACTTCTTCCCAGCGTTTAGCCAGAATCTCCCTTCTAGAAACTTGCCTCCACTTTTCCAGGCTAAACATACCCAGATCCTTGGTCATCTTGGTCACCCTCCTGTTAGACTTCTTCACCAGCCGAGTGTATGCAGCAACTGGGGCGTTAAAAATAAAAGGCTGCCCACAATATCTTTGCTTATTTCTATTTTTGAATATATAATAATCAAAGAGCAGCAACTCACCACCCCTCACGATGCCACACCACTATACAAAACACATGGTCAACTTAAATACAGTTTTCAATTACCCTACCACGTTACTGCATTTGGTGCAGCAGTTAAACTCCCCCTCTTAATTATTTAAATTGTCAAGAGACCACAGGTGTGTTTGAATTGTCAAGAGCTCACAGGTGTGTTGCCATTCAGATCAAGACTACAAACACACGCTTCTGAGTAGCACCATTGGCCACCTCCATATTAAGAAAACCCAACATCCTCTGCACACCTTCCAGCTTGTCAACATCCTCCTTAAATTGTGGAGCCCAGAATTGGACACAGTATTTCAAGTGAGAGCAGTACTATTCCTTCTCTTGATCTGGACACTAGATTTCTGTTGAGGCAGCCCAGAATAGCATTAGCTTTTTTTGCTGCTGCATCACACTGTTGGCTTGTGGTCTACTGTTGTTGTTGTTGTTTAGTCGTTTAGTCGTGTCCACCTCTTCGTGACCCCCTGGACCAGAGCACGCCAGGCCCTCCTGTCTTCCACTGCCTCCCTCATGCTGGTCGCTTCGAGAACACTGTCCAACCATCTCGTCCTCTGTCGTCCCCTTCTCCTTGTGCCCTCCATCTTTCCCAACATCAGGGTCTTTTCCAGGGAGTCTTCTCTTCTCATGAGGTGGCCAAAGTCTTGGAGCCTCAGCTTCAGGATCTGTCCTTCCAGTGAGCACTCAGGGCTGATTTCCTTCAGAATGGAGAGGTTGGATCTTCTTGCAGTCCATGGGACTCTCCAGAGTCTCCTCCAGCACCAGAATTCAAAAGCATCCATTCTTCGGTGATCAGCCTTCTTGATGGTCCAGCTCTCACTTCCATACATCACTACTGGGAAAACCATGGCTTTAACTATACAGACCTTTGTTGGCAAGGTGATGTCTGTTTTTTAAGATGCTGTCTACATTTGTCATTGCTTTCCCTCCCAAGATGTGGTCTACGAAGACACCCTAGATGCTTTCCGCATGTCCTGCTGGCAAGCCAGGTGTCCCCCATCCTATATTTATCCATCTGTCATGGTGAAGCATCTTCTTGGCAGTCTCAATTCCATCTTCTTTCCCTCCCCTTCCCTCACCTGTTGTTCTTTGTCGGGCCTCTGGTCCAGGACCAGGAAGAAGACCTTATACTAAGGTCCACCTTGCTCAGTATTGTGCAGACGTGACTGGCAGGCGCTTGCCAGGGTTTTTGGGCAGCCCAACCTGGATATGTCATGGCTGGCTGGGTTGAGGGGAGTTGTAGTCCAGGCTGGCAGAAGTCCCACCATTCCTTCTGCCTACCCAGAACCTTTCGCACCGGGCGCAACACAATCCCAAACCCTTCCAGATCTGTTGTTGTTATTGACACCTGTCTGTCTCAAGAGGCAATGGAGTGCGCCTCCAGGGATGAAGCTAAAATGCTGCGTTGGTAGCACCAAAGTGATCTCCCCAGGGTGCAAGCCTGGGTAGGGTGCTTGGAGGTCCTGGAGGTTCTTTTCCCCAATATATCGCCCACATAGGGAGCTTAGGGTGGGATAGGAGTGTCTCCACCCCCATCGTTCTGCCAGACACTGAGGTCCAGCTCCGAGGGCCTTCTGGTGGTTGCCTCCCTGTGAGAAGCGAAGTTACAGGGAACCAGGCACAGGGCCTTCTCGGTGGTGGGCACCCGCCCTGTGGAACGCCCTCCCATCAGATGTCAAGGAAATAAACAACTACCTGACTTTTTGAAGACATCTGAAGGCAGCCCTGTTTAGGGAAGCTTTAATGTTTGATGCTTTACTGTATTTTAATATTTTGTTGGAAGCCGCCCAGAGTGGCTGGGGAGACCCAGCCAGATGGGCAAGGTATAAATAGTAAATTATTATTATTATTATTATTAGGTCAGAGATTTCCTTCTCCTAGATAGGCTCCCTCCCAGGTGGATGAGCCCCCCTGCCCCCCCCACTTCGCTTTACAGAACATGCAGAAACCACCTTCTTGACCACTGGACCCCCTCTTGGTCTTGTCTGCTCCATCTGCTGGAGCCTGTTGTCAATCCTTTATTACTGTGCTTTGCTTTACCTAGGTTGAGCTAGGATTATAATACGTCAGAACTCTTGGGGTTTTTCCCTTGTTTGAATTTTGGTCATTTAAAGTTTATGATTTTTCTGTTTCCTTCTGAGGAAACGGAACAGTTCAGTGGAACGAGCTTTGTAGCCGGCATCCCGTTAAGGCTTTGTTCTATTTTAGGTTTTTCTAATAAGCTTTTTGATTTTTATTATTTAGTTGATTTCCACCAGACAATATTTATAGTCGATTACTTCTCGTTTCAGGGATTTTCAAGGTACAGTGGTACCTCGGGTTAAGTACTTAATTCGTTCCGGAGGTCCGTTCTTAACCTGAAACTGTTCTTAACCTGAAGCACCACTTTAGCTAATGGGGCCTCCCACTGCCGCCATGCGATTTCTGTTCTCATCCTGAAGCAAAGTTCTTAACCCAAGGTACTATTTCTGGGTTAGCGGAGTCTGTAACCTGAAGCGCCTGTAACCTGAAGCGTCTGTAACCCGAGGTACCGCTGTATTTCATTTGTTTTGTTCAATTTCTCAGTTCTGTGACTGTCTTTTTTCTATTGGTTTCCTGGGGTGTGGCCTCTGTCGCCTGCGGACAGCCTCTGGGAGCTGCAGGTAAGAGCTGAGCGCAGCGAGGGGCTCCAAGGTGGACCAGCAAGGTGTGTTCCCCACAAGAGGTCCCAGCCCTCCCCTAACCCCCTCCCCACACATCTTCCTTCCTACCCTTTGTCAATCAAGCAAGGGACGCATCATCTCGTCGTCTACACAGCTGCATCACAGCCATGGTTTATTCATAATAACACACCAGCTTGAATTGCATCACCCGCCCCCCCCCATGGCTTCCATGGAACAGGCCATTGGACCTGCTCCCACCCAGTGCAAATATCCCGTGTTGAGTGCAAGCAAGCATCCTTTTCTCAGGAGCCGCTGGGAAAACCTACCTACTGGCCGGGATACTGCTTCACCTTGCTGCCCCCTCCCTGCCCCGCCATTGCAGCTGTGCCCACAGCCGGCCCAGAGTGCCACCTGCAACCCCTTGGCCCATCGCTCTGTCTTCTCAGAGATCCCTTTGGCGTGGCAACTTTGGGCGCACAGTCTCCAGCACCAGACCCACGGCAGAGACCCCCGGGCTGGCGAAGAGGGAGAAGCACGCTCTCTCCATTTAGCATGCCCTTCCCACGGGCAGCGCCAGGGCATGCCCGCTTCCTATTCTGCCACCTGTTCCTGTCCTGCCTTTGCAGAGGAACAGCCCCTGCTGGCGTCGGAGCCACCGCCTTTCGGAGCCGCGTCCACGCCGTGGTTCCCTCGGCCACATCGCCACAGGCTTTCCTCGCATCCAGTCCCTGGGCATCTCGAGCCGACGGATCTAGTAGTGCCCTCGCAGTCTGTCCATGAAACTGGGCTTGCTTGCGGTTTGCTCCCTCGCCTGGTGGCGCTTTGGGGGCCCCTCTGGCACTGCCCGGGGCCTGGGCTCCTCACGCGGCATCTGCTCCTCTTCCTTGGCATGGGGCTTCCTTGCCTTGGCGCCGCTGGCCTGGTGGTGGCCTCGCCTGGCGTTCCCACGTGCCTTGCCCGCCCTTGCCCGCTTCTCCAGCTCCCTCTGCCGGGCTGACAGGTACGCCTTCTCCCTCTCCACGATCTTGGCCTCCCTCAGCGAACGGCGCTCGAAGGCCTCCACGATCCGGGGGATCCGGTTCTCCGCCTGCAGCTGCACGGCCACCTCCGCGGCAGAGGGGTCCGGCTTTTTCTTGCCGGAGACCAGCGTGGCGCGCGGCCTCTGTTGCTCGCAGAAGAGGCAGGAGCACGTGGCGGGAGAGGTGCTGGCGTCGTCGCAGGCGTGGAGCCCGGAAGCCTGCAGGAGGGGAAACCAGTGGAAAAAAGACAGTCAGAGACCCAAGAAATTACCCAGAACAAAAGAAATTACCCTGAAATGTGAAGTAATTGACTATAAAAAAGGTAAAGGTACCCCTGCCCGTAGGACGCGGGTGGCGCTGTGGGTAAAAGCCTCAGCGCCTAGGGCTTGCCGATCGAAAGGTCGGCGGTTCGAATCCCCGCGGCGGGGTGCGCTCCCGTTGCTCGGTCCCAGCGCCTGCCAACCTAGCAGTTCGAAAGCACCCCCGGGTGCAAGTAGATAAATAGGGACCGCTTACCAGCGGGAAGGTAAACGGCGTTTCCGTGTGTGGCTCTGGCTCGCCAGAGCAGCGATGTCACGCTGGCCACGTGACCCGGAAGTGTCTGCGGACAGCGCTGGCCCCCGGCCTCTTGAGTGAGATGGGCGCACAACCCCAGAGTCTGGCAAGACTGGCCTGTACCTTTACCTTTTTTTACCCCTGCCCGTACTCTCACTCAAGAGGCCGGGGGCCAGCGCTGTCTGCAGACACTTCCGGGTCACGTGGCCAGCGTGACATCGCTGCTCTGGCGAGCCAGAGCCGCACACGGAAACGCCGTTTACCTTCCCGCTGGTAAGCGGTCCCTATTTATCTACTTGCACCCGGGAGTGCTTTCGAACTGCTAGGTTGGCAGGCGCTGGGATCGAACAATGGGAGCGCACCCCGCCGCGGGGATTCGAACCGCTGACCTTTCGATTGGCAAGCCCTAGGCGCTGAGGCTTTTACCCACAGCGCCACCCGCGTCCCAATCGACTATAGAATAACAAAAATCAAAAAATAAACTAGAATTAAACAAAGACTTAACGAGGTGCCAGCTACAAAACTCATTTCACTGAACCTATCAGTTTCCTCAGAAGGAAATAAAGAAATTATAAGATTTGAAGTGATATCAAACAAGCTCAAGAGCAGGGCTGGAAATGCTTCCTTGAGTTTACAAAGAAGGTATGAAAACCTCAGTGACAAGTTTTAAGCATAGCTCTATTTAAGAGAATCAAGCAGTAGTGATAAGAAATTGAGGTTTTAAAGTTTCAAACAAACTCAAAATACAGGGCAGAAACTCAAAAAAGTTTTAAACATAACCCTATTTAAGAGAACCAAGCAATAGTAATACAAAATTAAGGTGTGAAGTTTCAAACAAACTCAAAAACAGGGCAGAGACTCAGACAAGTTTTAAACATAGCCCTATTAAGAAATTGAGGTTTTAAGTTTCAAACACTCAAAAACAGGGCTGAAGCGCTCCTGACTGCTGATGTTAAAGAATGATTTTTGTGATTCTATAGTCGATTACTTCTCGTTTCAGGGATTTTCACAGTAATTTCTTTTGTTCTGTGCAGGAGGGGAAAGGCAGAAGGGCAGGAAGCGGAGGCTCAGTGAGTTTAGGGTATGGTTACCAGATTTTTTTCAATGAATCTGGGGACACATATTCCCCCCCCCTTTTTAAGCTGAGTAGCAACAGGGAGTCAGTAGTGGGGATGGAAAGGCAAAAGACCCGTGGCCCAATCACACATGCATATTGTATAAAGGCGCAAAGCCCTTCTCTCACACCCTGTGAAACATAAATGCGCAGAGTTTTTTAAAAAAACTGGGCAACATCCATGCGCCCGTGACTCCCAAGCCTTCCCCGATCTCCTGCCCTGTTCCTCGTTTTGACTGATCGGGGAGGCTCAGGATCCAGGGGTGGGCGGCTGTTGCCCAGTTTTTAAAAAAACTCTGTGCATTTATGTTTCGCAGGGTGCAAAAGAAGGGCTTTGCACCTTGCCTGGCAGAGAAACCGTGCGCCTTGCACCCCTCCTGGGCAACAGCCACCCGCCCGCGACTCCTGAGCCGCCCCTGATCTGTCAAAACAAAGAGGGAAGGGGGGCAGGAGATTTGTACCGCCGGACGTCCCTGGTTCCCCTTCGGCAGTGGCGGCAGCAGCGAGCAGCTCCTGAAGCCAGCCAGAGCCAACTGCGCTACCAGGCTGGCTCCGGGCTGCTGAGGCTGCTGCTTCCACATTTCCCGGGACAGATTTGCAAATAGGGGGACATTCCGGGGACGGAATTTGTCCGGGGACAGATTTGCAAATCCTGATTCGGCAGCCTCTTATGGGAGTTGTTTGTAGTCCAACTATATCTGGGGAAGCCCCATAGCATCTGCCCTGGGGAACACCCTCCCATCAGATGTAAAGGAGATAAACAACTCTTTGACTTTTGGAAGACATCTGTACAGAAGTTTTTAATGTGTGATATATAATAATAATAATAATAATAATAATAATAATAACAACAATAACAACAACAATAACAACAATAACAACAACAATAATTTATTTGTACCCCACCCATCTGGCTGGGTTTCCCCAGCCACTCTGGGCAGCTTCCAGCAAAGATCAAAAATACATTAAAATGTCACACATTAAAAACTTCCCTGAACAGGGCTGCCTTCAGATGTCTTCTAAATGTCAGGTAGTTGTATTTCTCTTTGACATCTGGTGGGAGGGCGTTCCACAGGGCGGGTGCCACCATTGAGAAGGCCCTCTGCCTGGTTCCCTGTAACCTCACTTCTCACAGTGAGGTAACCGCCAGAAGGCTCTTGGAGCTGGACCTCAGTGTCCGGGCAGAACAATGGAGATGGAGATGCTCCTTCACGTATACTGGGCCTTTGAGGCCGTTCAGGGCTTTAAAGGTCAGCACCAACGCTTTGAATTGTGCTTGGAAACGTACTGGGAGCCAATGTAGGTCTTTTAGGACCGGTGTTATGTGGTCTCTGCGGCCGCTCCCAGTCACCAGTCTAGCTGCCGCATTCTGGATTAGTTGTAGTTTCCGGGTCACCTTCAAAGGTAGCCCCACGTAGAGCATAATGCAGTAGTCCAAGCGGGAGATAACCAGAGCATGCACCACTCTGGCGAGACAGTCTGCGGGCAGGGAGGGTCTCATCCTGTGTACCAGGTGGAGCTGGTAGATGTTTAACTGTGGTCTTAATATTTTGCTGGAAGTTCCCAGAGTGTCTGGGGCAGCCCAGTCAGATGGACGGCATATAAATAATAAAATTATTATTATTATTATTATTATTATTATTATTATTATTATTATTATTCCCCAGCCCTTCCCTCTGCCCTCTCACCTGATGCGTGGGATCCTCTTCCTGGTGGCTCTTCATTCTGTGCCTGATGTCAGCTGTGGGGTCCGGACTTGGACAGCCTCCTGCCTCTCCCCAAGAATCCCTTTCCTTCTGATCCGGTGATCCGTACGCAGGTGGCCACCCCATAGTGCCTGGGCTGCCCCGATGCCCAGCCCCACGCCCCTGTTGCCTTGGGTGGGACGGAGGGTCTTCGGCCGGCGTCTCCTCCAGCCACTGCTGAACTTTCAAAAACCGGTCTGGCACCTGCCGCCGGCAAGGAGGCCCCGTCCTTTCCCTCTGGCGGGGGGCACTCAAACCCGCTCTCTCCTTGCCTTCCGGCAGACTCCAGACGTTCTCCTGGAGCGTCTCCATGCCCGTTGGCGTGTCTCTGTTAAACGCTTGGCAGGCAGTACAGCTCTGGACGTGGCTGATTCTGCAGCGAGGCAGGATCCGTGCTGAGCTGCTGACGGCCGTGGAGGGCCTGCTGCTCTCCTGCCGCCAATAGACGCGCTCCGATGCCCCGCCTTTGCCAGTGAGACAGTGCCGGAGGGTCCGAGGGCATGGGTGGCAGCCGTGGGCATGGGTGGCATCTCCTCTTCCTTGCGTTGCGCGGCTGTGATCCTGCCTCCTGCAGTTTCGCTCGGGGCCAGCGTGTTCCTTCCTGGGGTCCCTCCAGGGCCCACTGGGGTCTGTGGGGTCTTCCTGAGGGGTCCCCAGGTCCTCGCAGGGGTCGGACACGCGGGCTTTCAGCTTCTGGGAGAAGAAAGTGTCCAGCTTCTCTGCAGCATTGCGGTTGAACAGGGATGCCCTCTCTATACCCAGGCTGGGCGAAGATCGCACGTGCGGGCACAGCGGCGGCTGATGCCCCTCGGGATGCTTCGGGCGGTTCCGCACCGGATCCTTACAACCCCGGAGGTGGCTTTGGCAATCAGCGTGATCCGTCCTTCTGGGCGGGTTCGGCTTTCCAAGGCTGCATTCTCGGATGGATCTAGAGAGCTCTAAAGAGAAGTGAAACCGGGAAGACTCAGTGAAAAAGTGTCTCCGATTCATGGCCTCCTAGTACATCTTCTTTCCACAACTGGGAGTCCTCCAGATGTTTTAGACTACAATACCCATCAGCCTCAGCCTGCACAGCTTGGCTGGGGCTGGTGGAGTTGTACAGTCATAGGTAAAGGTAAAGGGACCCCTGACCATTAGGTCCAGTTGTGGCCGACTCTGGGGTTGCGGCGCTCATCTCGCTTTATTGGCCGAGGGAGCCGGCGTACAGCTTCCGGGTCATGTGGCCAGCAGGACTAAGCCGCTTCTGGCAAACCAGAGCAGCGCACGGAAATGCCGTTTACCTTCCCGCCGGAGCGGTACCAATTTAGCTACTTGCACTTTGATGTGCTTTCAAACTGTTACGTTGGCAGGAGCAGGGACCGAGCAACGGGAGCTCACCCTGTCGTGGGGATTCGAACCGCCGACCTTCTGATCGGCAAGTCCTAGGCTCTGCGGTTTAACCCACAGCGCCACCCGCATCCCTGTACAGTCATACCTCGGGATAAATATGCTTCAGGATAGGTATTTTCGTGTTGCGCTCCGCAGCAACCCGGAAGTAACGGAGCGCGTTACTTCTGGGTTTCACTACTCACGCATGCACAGACGCTCAAAATGACATTATGCGTATGCGTGGAAGTGGCGAAATGCAGATGCGTCTTACGTTCTATTCAGGATAGAATAACCCTAACCCTAACCCTGTTCGCAGCCCGAGGTACCACTGTAGTCCCTCCCAAGCATCTGGAAGGCATCAGGGTGGTAGAAAACTAAGTGACAGGAGGAGCCAGCAATAAATCACACTGTGCACGTTGGAGTTAACCCTTTCTTAGAAAGAACACGACCTGCACAGACTTGGTGGCGTGTCAGGCCTGAGGAGCACAGCTGCTCATCCCAGGTCGGTTTACCCTATGGACCAGTTTCTGAGACCAAAGGTCCCTACCTCCATAGCTGTCAACTTTCCCCTTTTTTAAGGGAAATTCCCTTATTCCGAATAGGATTCCCCACAAGAAAAGGGAAAAGTTGACAGCTCTGCCCTACCTCCCCAGGGCTTTTTCCGAGCAATTGGAGACTGCGCCTGCATGGTTCCGCCCACTTCATGCCTCTTCTGGTTCTGGGAGACCAGGTTGGAGGGGAGCTTTTCGCAGTAGGACACCCATGATTCTTCACCAGCCTGACTCATCTCGGCCTCTTGACCTCCCTCCTCTCCTGCTTCAGCTTCTGCCTCTGAATCTGGACTGCTCTCTGCCACAAACTCTCCCTTCTCACCACGTTTCTGACACCTCCTCCTTCTAGTCTTCTCCCCCTTCTCCTTCTGACCCACTCATGGTTGTACCACCACCACTCCCTGGGTTCTAAGCCTTCTTCCCTTTGGGGTTCCCCAGCTGGATCCTCTCCTCTTCCTCTGCATCTAACAAGTCCAAGACACACCACTTAGAATGGATGTCATGAATCCATTCCTTGTCTGAATCTGCCCTTTGGGGCTACTGGAGCTATAATTCAAAATAAATGCAGCAAAGCCCAACAATTTGGGGCAGCAACTGCTTCTCCTTCCCAAAGTCCTTCCAGTTCATGTTTATGGCTTCCTTCTTCACTAGCTTTATAATAATAATAATAATAATAATAATAATAATAATAATAATAATAATAATTTATTTATACTCCGCTCATCTTGCTGGGTCTCCCCAGCCACTCTGGGCAGCTTTCAACAGAATATTAAAATACAACAGTCTGTTAAACATTAAAAGCTTCCCTAAACAGGGCTGCCTTCAGATGTCTTCTAAAAGTCTCGTAGTTGTTCTTCTCTTTGACATCTGAAGGGAGGGCGTTCCACAGGGTGGGTGCCACCACTGAGAAGGCCCTCTGCCTGGTTCCCTGTAACTTGGCTTCTCGCAGTGAGGGAACCGCCAGAAGGCCCTCGGAGCTGGACCTCAGTGTTTAGGAAAGGAATTGAAAATAAAAATGCCAATATCGTAATGTAAGGTTACCAGACGTCCCCGTTTCCCGGGGACAGTGCCCAGATTTACAAATCATTCCCCATACAAAATTCATTGAAGTTGAAAAGTGTCCCCGGATTCATTGAAAAAAATATGGTAACCTTATCGTAATGCCATTATACAAATCCATGGCGTGAGCACATTTGGAATGCCTTGCACAGTTCTGGGCACCTCCACTCAAAAAGAACTGGAAAAAGTTCAGAAGAGGGCCAAGAGGAAAGGTTGCAGTGTTTGGGACTTAACAGTTTAGAGAAACTATCCCAAAGTTGGGCTCCATGATCACTGCAGATGGTGACAGCAGTCATGAAAATAAAAGACGCCTGCTTCTGGGGAGAAAAGCAATGACAAACCTAGACAGCATCCTAAAAAGCAGAGACGTCACCTTGCCAACAAAGGTCCGTGTAGTTAAAGCTCTGGTTTTCCCAGTAGTGATGTATGGAAGTGAGAGCTGGACTATCAAGAAGGCCGATTGCCGAAGAATGGATGCTTTTGAATTCTGGTGCTGGAGGAGACTCTGGAGAGTCCCATGGACTGCAAGAAGATCCAACCTCTCCATTCTGAAGGAAGTCAGCCCTGAGTGCTCACTGGAAGGACAGATCCTGAAGCTGAGGCTCCAAGACTTTGGCCACCTCATGAGAAGAGAAGACTCCCTGGAGAAGACACTGATGCTGGGAAAGATGGAGGGTGCAAGGAGAAGGGGACGACAGAGGACGAGATGGTGGGACAGTGTTCTCGAAGCGACCAGCATGAGTTTGACCAAACTGCAGGAGGCAGTGGAACACAGGAGGGCCTGGCGTGCTCTGGTCCAGGGGGTCACGAAGAGGCGGACACAACTAAATGACTAAAAACAACAACAACATCCCAAAGGAACAGAAAAGACTTTTTATGTACGTGGTAACAGTAGCCCAGAGATGGAAAGAAGAAACAGTCCCTGCCAGAGAGGAATGGCAAATTAAGCTGTTAGTCTACGCTGAAATGGCAAAACTGACTGGGGAACTCAAGAGACCAAGAAGACAAGAAATTCAAGAAAGAATGGGAAAAGTTTATAATTTAGTTAGGAGACCACTGTAACCAGATGAAAACATGAGCAGGATTTTAATACCACTTGTAATTTAACAAATATTATGGATAATATATATGGATAGGTACAAAATAGAGACTATGAAATAATATGCTGTTGGAAATGTTGACAATAGGACCCATGAAGTGGATGGGGGGAAGTCACGAGATTCAGAGAAATCTCATTTTATGGATATGCATTTGGTATTGTAATTGATTTGCATTTGTAAAATCAAATGAAAATGATTATTTTTTTTAAATATAGAAAATATGAGTAAAAGCAACATGATAGAAGTTTAGAGGTCCCGGGCCCTCTTTAAAGCCCTTTGTGGCTTAGGACCCTCGTATCTATGGGACCACCTCTCCTGGTCTGCCCCGCAGAGGACCTTAAGGTCCATGAATAACCATAGTTTAGAGGTCCCAGGCCCTAAGGAAGTCAGACTGTCCTCCACCAGGGCCAGGGCCTTCTCAGTGATGGCTCTGACCTGGTGGAATGCTCTGTCCCAGGAGACCAGGGCCCTGCAGGATTTAACCTCCTTTTGCAGGGCCTGTAAGACAGAGCTATTCTGCCTGGCTTTCAATTTGAACTTAGCCTGATCTTTTATTCCCCTTCCTTCCCTTTTTATGAAGATTACCCGCTCTGAGACCCCACAGCTAATTCTCCCCTGGTCTCCTCACTGGCCCAAGTAGGACCAATTCAGCCAGCTAGCCCTGGAGACTATCTAATGCTTATTAGATGGATTTCCCCTAAATTGATTTCTGAACTTTGAAATTTATTGTTATTCATGTTTTTATACTGTGTTTTATGCTGCTTCTACAATTAAGTGCTTTAAATTTGTTGTTAGCTGCCCTGAGCCCGGTTTTTGAACCGGGAAGGGCGGGGCATAAATAAAAAATTATTACTATTATTATTAGAAGTCAATAATAATAATAATTTATTTTTTTATACTCCGCCCATCTGGCTGGGTATAAACTTGGGAATGTCATGGCATGGGGGAAAGTGGGTAGAGAACAGTTTTTCTCCCTCTCTTATGGCATTAGAACTTGTGGACTTCCCATGAAGCTGAATGTTGGAAGATTCAAGACTGTTAACCTCTGGAACTCCCTGCCTCAGGAGGTATTGATGCCCACCAACCACTCAATAACCACTTTGGCCACTCAATAACCATGGCCCAATGGGAAAATTTATGGAAGATCAATTGGAAATTCACAAATTGTTACACAATTAGAGAGAACTTTCAAAAAATGCAACATCGATGTTATCTAACACCATGGAAGCTTTCAAAAATGTATAAAAATGTATCAAGTAATTGTTGGAGATGCGGAGACTCAGGAACATTCTTCCATATGTGGTGGATATGTAGGAAAATACAGGTATTCTGGGAGGGTATTCATGCAGAACTGCAAAAAATGCTAAAGATCTCTTTCAATAAAAAACCAGAGGCCTACCTCCTGGGAATAACAGATTTGGATATCCCACAAAAGAGGAAGGGTATCTTTTTATACGCGACGGCGGCAGCAAGAGTTTTGATCGCAGCAAAATGGAAGAGTAATGAAATCCCCGCTATTCAAGATTGGATCCAAAAGCTGACAGAATATGCTGAATTAGATGGTTTATCAGAAAAAATAAAGAATAAATCAAAACAGGAATTTGTTTCTAAATGGGAGGTTTTTAAAGAATATCTGAAAAAAAATAAATATAGTAGTTTAAATTCTGTTGCAGCATTCGAGGAACTTCAGTAATAGTTGTAAGGTAGATATAAGAAATTAGATTTAATGAGAATAAGTTTAATTATGAAAAAAAATGTGTATTGGCAATAAGTAATATGAATTTAAAGTATGGAATAGACGGGAGGTTGGGTCTTTAGTGTTAAGACCAGTAGATGTTTTATTGTTTGCTAAGAATATTATGTGTCTATGGTTACTTTTGTAATTTGTGTATAATTTGGTATTTGTGTTTTTTGTTTGTTTGTTTTTCTTGTTGTATAAATAAAAAACTTTTTTAAAAAAGAAAAAGATGCCCACCAACCTAGATGGCTTTAAGAAGAGGATTGGACAAATTCCTGGAGGAGGAGAGGGCTATCGATGGTTGCTAGCCAGGACGCCTCTGCTCTGCTCCACAGTCAGAGGCAAACCACAGGAGCAGCGCGTTGCTCTTGTGTTCGAGTCCTGCTTGTGTGCTTCTCACAGGTATCTGCTTGGCCCCTGTGAGAACGAGATGCCGGACTAGACGGGCCAAGCTCTTCTTGGGCTTACCAGAAATAATGGAGGCCGTCGAAATCTCACGATCTCCCCACGGCCTGCTGGCATTGTTGACGTAGTCCTGGTCAGTATCCCAGTCGTCCTCCTCCTCCTCCGTGCCGTGAGAAAACCGCCTGGTCTGCTCTGGCCGCCTGTGGTCCCCGCTGCTCCTGCAGGCATTTGGAGACCGGCCAGCCCAGGGACACCCGGTCTGGGCCATGAGGGAGTACCAAGAAGTCCTGGCCCTCAGCCACAAGGTCAAGGCTGGTTGCACCAAGAGCTGGGCGGACCGAGCACGGCCTCCGTCCCAGCCCAGGTTGGTAGAGTCTGCCCACTGTGATGTCAGTGCGCTGTCATGCGTGGTTCTTCTGCACAACACTCCGCCAGAGCTGCATTCTTTGGAGGGGGGTAGGCGCATGGTGGAATGACCGCCAGAGTCCTCGGTCTGGTCAGCTGCCTGGCTTTGCCAAAGGGTGTTGGGGAGGGCTTGAAATGGGAGCATGGAGGAGTTGGAAGAAGAACAGAAGGGCAGCCCAATCGTCCGACGTCTCATTCTGCCCCTGTCCCTTTTCTGGCCACTTCTGGGTTGCGGCGATGTGTGTTTGCGAGGTTGCGCACATACTGAATGCAACCCAAATAATACAGTGGTACCTCTGGTTATGAACAGGATCCGTTCCAGAGTCCCGTTCGCAACATGAGCGGGACGCAATCCACGTCTGCGCGTGTCGTGATTCACCTCGTCTGCACATGTGCGTGACATCATTTTGTGCATCTGCGCATGCGCGAGCGGCGAAACCTGGAAGTAGCCCTTTCCAGTATTTCTGGGTCATGCAGGATGCAACCTGAAAAAACGTATCATGAAGCAAATGCAACATGAGACATGACT